CAGCATTAACGAGCTGTGATTTTGTTACAAATAGGGATTTTTGTTCCTCTTTTGCTGATGTCACTCTGTGATCCTGCAGGGAATAGTGCTCGGATCTCTGCAGCCTGACGAGCCCCATGTGCCCTTTGGGACAGATGTACTTGCAAGTGGGAGATTGTTTTTCCTTTGCTGCCCAGATTTGTATTTCACTGAAGTCCAGTATCGATCCCACTGCCGCTGGGCTGGAAGCTCATTTTACTAAATGGGAAGAAAAACAGTTTCCCCAGCTGAACGCACGCAAAATGGAAAATCCTGCAACAAAACAGCTCTTAAAAAGGGGCCTGAATGATTTTGCTGAACCTCGAGGACTGGGCTGTTGACATCGTACCGGGATGTAATTTATTTAGCCTGACCTTTCCCTGCAAGACCGTGCTGGTGGCATTATCAAGGATCCTTTCTACCACTTGTCCACCCATTGCCAAGGTGACGTCCTGTTTCATGCGTCAGTCGGCGAAGATCGCATCCGCGCTGCTGTGATGCTTTGTTTGCCATCCTGCCTGACAAGCTCTTGGCAGGGTTTCAGCTCCTGCGGATGGCAGCTGCTCCGCCAGGGACCAAAACAGATTCAAGATGGACATAATTATGGGGAGTTTCATCTGGACAGAGTACTGGGCTGGGGCTCCCTGGATGAGACTGGCCCACGGATGAGATGAAGCAAAGATGCCCAAAGGTGCTACCAGCTGGAACGGGACCGGGAGGCGACTGCAGCACTGGACCCCATGCTCATCCCACGCCCCATCTCACTCGGGATTTACGTGAGCCTTCGTGATGCTGGGGAAGCAGAGGCAGTTCGCCGGTGCTCACTGCAGAGGCTTGCCAAAGCGCAACCGAGTATGGATGGTGGAGCACGACCGGTGGAACAGGTCCTGCTGCTGCACAAAACCAGCCGGTGTCTGCCTCTCCCCTCCCAGAGATTTCCCAGCGGGTCCCAGAAGGAGACAGAGATGCAGGTGGGGAGGACGTGTCTGTCCTTCACCCGAGAGCCTGTCAGCAGTGGGGGCAACCACAGTGGAGAGGGACATGGTCTCAGTAAAGCTTCTCCCCCATCCCACCAAGGGATTGAAACCTCTGAACGAGGGGAATTTTCACTGTAGGTTCCCACATCTCTCAAAGGGACTTTGGTGACGGATGAGGACAAAGGCTGCAGCTAAAGAAGTCCCCAAACCCCACCGACTTCTTATAAAAGACTCAAAGGTCTACAGTTATGGGGGCAAAATTAATTAGGTGGCTCACAGGGGCAAGGCCTGCTCTGCTTCAGATGTCAAAGGTAGGAAAGCCTCGTGGAGGTTTTCCACGTGGCCATCGACTTCCCACTTCACCCCTCCCACCGGTCTGATCTGAAAGAGGAGCTGAGCCCTGTTGGAAGGACAAGACAGAAGATGCTCTTGGTCACGGACAAGGCTCTCACGATACCTGTGTTCTCCTCGGACTGGTTGAAGCCACAGATCTGGCAGATGCTGCGAACCCACTTGTTCATGTCGTCCTCGGTCTCAGCCACTAGGTAGAAGGTCCTGTCGGTGGTCTTGATGTCGAAGATGTAGCTGTCTTGCAGCTCCTTCTTGTTGAAGGTCAGGCCCGCGTCCACTTGCTCACAGAAATTGAGGTTGATCACACGCAAAGGTTTCTTGGAGTGGTCATTTTTGTAGTACTCCAGGACGTCGGGGTCGCCACTCATCCGGCCGCTGCGCAAGACGAACCAGCGTTTCTTCCATGCCTGAAACCAAGAAGAGAGCAAGCATGAACCCCTTTGCTCAAGTTGTGAGGACCAAGAAGCCACTGCCAGGCAGAGGGTGACACAGATGGACATGACACCTCTCCACCCTGGGATGCTCTGGGATGTTGCTCAGGACAACCCTGCAAAAGGTACACAGACTAAGCTCATCAGTTCAATACTCAAATCCCACTGGTTATCCATGAGAATTAAATACTGAAGTATCATTCTAGCTTAAGATTTAATGGTCGGACTTGATGATCTTAAAGGTCTTTTCCAACCTAAACGATTCTATGATTCTAAGATGACCCCAAGAAGTGCTAGTCCTGAGGCTTAGAGCAACCTTGCTCCTACCCTACAGCCTAGCCACACTCCCAGGACCCAAATACCCTTCGTTCCTTGATGCAAGATAATCTGTGGGGCGGCATTACCAACAATCGCAGTGCCAAAATGCCTTCTAGAAGCTCAGAGGAGCTCAGGTCCTTCGGACACAGTGCCTTGGATATCCTGCCCTTCAGAGAAAGCCCCAAGAGCATCACAGCGCGCATCTGCAGATACTGACCACACCAATCCCGACTCTGTTTAAATGCCAGAATAGAAAGGCTAATAAAACCAACGGGGAACTGGTTTGATTTTTTTAAATATCAGGAATAATGCCAGGGAGACCCGTGGAGAATCCAAGCTTCATTTGTTTTTCAGCATCTTCTGCTCCCTCATATGTAAGAAACTCCTTAGCAAAGGAAAAGGTTATCATCGATCCTTCCAAGCACTGCTGACAGTGGTCCCCGGCCAAACCACCCAGGGAACAGACACAGGGGATTATGGTGTTTGAAGCAAACTGGCAAAATAAATGTCAGCCATCGGCCCTGGCACCGGGAGCTGCGGCCCCTCTGCTCTCCCCACACCAAATGCAGTCGGGAGCCCACAGGAGGGGGAATAAGCCACAACAATAATGTGCTAAATGCTATGACTTATATTACACAGAGAATTGTGCAGGTGTCCATGAGATGGAGGGGTGTTTTTTTTTGGGGGGGGAGGGTGGGTGGGATCTGCAGAAGCATCCTGGTGTCTGTGGGAGGGAAGCAGAGGGTGAGCAACCATCTTGAGCTACTACTCCCCATCGCGGAGCTATGCTCAGCTCCCATGGAGTATGGAAGGGAAGGACTACATCTAAGAGTAGTCCCTAAAATGTCTGAGTTTGTTCAGGCTGCTTCTGAAGGTGGTGAAGGTTTGAGAGGTGGACGAACAACGTGGGCTGGATATGGCCCACGTGGATGACTGGGGTGATGTGGGGTATTGCCAGCGCTCCTGCATTACCTGATGCAGACCTCGGTTTGCACCAGAGGATGCCAAGGGAGGGGTTGTGACTCCCACCATCCTGCCCTGGCCGTTTGCTTGGTTTATGAGCTTTACCTTAATTATTTTTTTAAAAAATCACCAGTTTTTGGGTTCATGTGATTCTGAGAGGTTGGGTCATGAGGAATCATGTCACGTTCCTAAAGAGGAAGAACCAACAGCCAAAACAATCTTTAGTAATCCAAGAGAGGCAGCAAGGTGAGCGTTGAGCTGGGACCACCATGATGCTCCCTGAGAGGTGACTACAGCTTTGTGTGTTGGTGATCGGGCATGTGCTAGATCTCAGCCACCCAACTGCACCAGGATCCCACAACTTTGGAGAATTTGGTGGCTGAAATAAGGGTAAGAACCCCCTGTGATATTTTCTCTGGGTGGTTGATTTGCACCATACTTCTCAAAGGCTTAAAAATAGCTTTTGTTGGTGTCTTTGGGATTTGTAACCAAATTAATTTTGCAGTAATTCTCAAACTGACTCCCAGTGCCAGGAAAGCAACTTCAGTGCAATGTTCCAAATGCAGTGGAGCAGCAAATTGCTTCGTAAGAGGACGTGCGAGGCCCGCAGATTTTTGGTTTCATGCAGGACATGCTCACCCATTTCTCATCAAAACAGCTGCTTTTGTATGAAAAAAAACCCCACACATGATGGAGCTGAATCCATCAGGGAGGGAAAAAAAACGATTTCAGCAGGCAGCACTAATAATTTGCTAGTCCATCTCCTCAAAATGGATCACCCAAGTAATTGGGAAAAACACTCCTGAGTATTTTTTCTAGCTCTACGTGGAAAATGCGCCATTAGCTTCTTTCTATTGACACCGAGACATTTCTTTTCAGCCACTTGGCAGGACAAAGAAATGGGCACACATCAGTGAGGGCGTCTGAATAAGATCAAGCTGTGCAACCACATGAACCACCACCTGAATAAAGACACATCCAACAACAGTGCTTGCTACTTGGCTGGTTGCTTTCTAACCATCCAGAGTCAAGCCTTGCAGCATCCCTTCATGGCTGAGAAGTTGCATTAAAAAAACCCCCATGAAGCACAGAAAGTAGACTCCAGAATTTAGAGCTTTCATGGAAAAAATAAGAGGAAATGCTGTAAGCAAGGCCAACAATGCTACCACAGCTTCCCTTTTTATTGCCAATGTGAGAGCCACAACTTCTCTAGTTCCCTTTGGTCTGTCTGGTAGCAATGGAAAGCCCCACGCAGTCAATATTTGGCAGAGAAAACAGTATGACACACGTGGTCTGGTGGTATTGGGTAAGTCCTAACATAAGCTGTTTACAAAAGAACCACTCTTGTCAGGACAAAATTTCTTGGGAAGCTTCAGGAGCTGGAGTGTCGCTGAGGGGGTGGGATCCTTGGACAGAGCAAGAGCTCCACCAGCCTTGGGATGACCACCCTGTCCACCTCATGATGATAAAGAGTCACCAGTGTTTTTCTAAAACAGCTCTGACCCAGAAAAACAGCTCATGGCAGCAGTTGCTGGACTTGCCTGTCCTGGATAGGTGGCTGCAGGCAGCACAGCTGGATGCATCTCCCACTGCACATCCTCGCAGCAGGACCAGCCATTTCTGCCTCCTAAGACCAGCTTCTGAGCCAGAGGAATAAGCATTGGCCATTAGAAGAGAATGGTAGGAAATAATAAAGAAATAGCCAGGAACCTTCTTATTTTTGTGGAGATTTTCCCTGTTTCTTTGAATTTTGCAACACTGAGCTCAGCAGGCATATTTCAGTTCTTCCCCATGGATTTGCTATGTCTCTGTTAGGAAAAGGGCTCAGCTTGTGTTTACCAAGGTAGGGCTGTGCTTGGAGCATCTCATGCCACTAATGGAGCTTACTTCAACATATAGCGATATGTCGCAAAGGATACGCAGCCTGCAGCATGTGCCCCATCCTCCTGGGACACCGATTTCCCCATTCAAAATTACCAGTATCATCCAAATCTTCCATGTTTAGGCTTCCCTAGAACATCACCTTCCTGCAAAAGGGTGATTTAAGGGTCTAACGACCACCAGCTGCAACAGCAGTATGATGCATAGGATCCATATCTCCATGCCAAACCAGAGGAGTATGCGACTCCACATGAATCTCCATGCTCTGCTGCCACATTTCCAAGACCTTCTTCTCCCACCATGGGGCTGTGATGGCCAACACACATCTCCTCCTCCACCTGAATTTTCCTTCTCTCCTTATTTCTATTTCTTCCCAGCTCCTTTGAAGTCCCTGTTCCCACTCCTGCCAAAACACCGCCACATGGTGTGAGCCAAGGGCTGTGTTTGTTTAACAGCTTTACAACGTAGAGAGGCCAACAGCTTAACAGCCATAAAACGGTGCCTTTGCAGCACAGATTTTCAGCTGTGTGGTCCTTTGCCTGCCTCAGGTTGCTTCGCAGTTAAATTACAGCTGCTAAAGGCCCTTAATATCATTAAGAAATATATTGATGCTTGGCAAGTACTTCTTTTAAAGACTTCTTTGTTAAAAAAAATGTCCATCATGCTGCCAGTGCAATGCAAATCCTCCCAGGTGCTGAGAACCGTGACTGTTACTTGATTGCTTTCCACCTCAACAGTGCCGTGGCAAGTCAAAGTTTATAAAATTGACCCCTTTCCAGCTGGATGCTACCTGGAATTGGGTGTTTTATGGGTTGGAGAGTTGGGTTGGCAGAGACAAGGTGGTGCTGCTGGGTTCACAGGCTGAGTGCCCTTAGCAGGGATGCTCTGGGGGGCTCAGGTTGCAGTTGGGACCCGTCTTGTCCCCTCTGCTGGGTGAGGAACCAGAAGAACGCAATTGGAGAGGTGGCTGCTCTTGAGCAACCAACATAGAGTCATGGGAGATCTTCTGATCACACCACGAGTGAGGTGCCTTATGTCCCCTGCAGATGTCCTGATGGTGAAATACTGTGACAGAGCTGGTGGCATCACTGCAGAGGGCTCAGCCTGTCCCTTGTTGGAGAATCTGGGGACTCTAAGTGCATAATAACCCAAGTTCAATTTAGGACAGGTCAGGCAGAAGCTTTATTAACTATGATCATAATGAGATGACATCTAGGCAGCATCTCCCCCTCTGCTCCTCTGTTCTCTGCCAAGTGATTGCAGAGCCCCAGCCATATACAGTTGCAGAAAAATAGGAAGAGGTGAGGAAAAGAGTAAATTTAATGTTAGCAAAGCCTGGTATCCATCCCCGGGAGGGAGCTTGCTAACTGCCACAACCCCAAGAAGGAGTCAAACAGTAAATAATGCAATGATATGGAGAGATGGCTCTTGGTGGAGTCTATAGGAGTGGCTCACCCAGTGTTATCTTAGCTCAGAAGTGGGGATTTGGAAACAGTCAGGGACTGTTAGCTTTTAGTTGAAAGGAATGTTCTTTTAATTAGGATGAACTTTTGAGCCCGACCTCTCAAGCTTTAAATATTAATAATTTTACCACCACACCCTTATAGCATATATAGGGACAAGAGAGGAGAACATGGAGGTATTTGCCGGCTTTACAAAAGATCAAAAAGATTGACTTTTCCTCTGGCACAGCTTCGTTGTTAGTAAAAACAAAACAAAGCAAAACACACCAAAAAAAAAGCTGTTTTTTCACCAGCTTGGGGTTGGTAAGTGCCTGTTGTGTATCACAGCAGCGAGAGGGACAAGGT